AAAAAAAAAAAAAAAAAAAAAAAAAAAAAAAAAAAGCCCTTCTTTTAAGCCACTGAAAGATGAGATCTGATGGAATCTTCCCGTAGCTCCCGATGTTTTCCAATATTACTTTCTTCTTGCTGGTTTCTCCTCTCAATAGTTATTCTGTATTTCTTCCTGGGTAAAAGGAAAGTGAATGTAGTAATTAAACCTCAGTTGGCTGCAAAATACTATGGCTTCTCTTACAAAGAGTGCCCTCAAGGGACATCTGGGTTTAGTTTGATAAATGAGAAGTGACAGAATATGAAACCCTGGTCAGAGATTAAAGTCATATACCCCGAGGCATTATGTCCCTATTCAAGGAGGAAAATTGGCATGCTTTCTGAAATGCCATAGAACAAGCCTTTCCCTTCTTCCTTGGGTGCCTTTGGGTTAAGTCTTGTCTATTCAGCCCCAGAAGCTCTGTCTGACTCCCAGGACATGCCCTAGATAAAGATCAGATGAAGTGTACTGTGACCCAAGGAACAGCAATACGATTGTTCCCACAAAGGATCACATACACTCAGAGTTACATTCCATGCAAAAATGCAGAAATCTTGAGTCTGATGACTTACAAATAAGCCACAAACTCAACCAGCAAACATTACAAAAGAATGGACCACCCTCACAGTGTGTAACAATCAGAATCTTGAACACATGCACATATTACAATTTTACAAGCCTTGGGGCTTAACTGTTGTGGTAACTAAGCACACAAATTCTCCAGATACAATGCACACATCAGCCTGAAAACAGAGGACACTCTTAAACTGTCCTCTTCAGCTCTCTGGCCCACGGGTGGTACATCAGAAACCCATAACCCCAGTACCCACTGACCGACAAACCAGAGGTCACAGTGGAAGAATGGCTTAAACCTTTCAACCACTATGCTTCTTGGTTAGAAGATACGGACAAATTACAAGAAACATTGTGCAAAGACAAGTAACAAAAACAGAAGAAAAGAGTGAATTTTCACTGGATAAATGATTCCCACCTGAAAAAGTAGAAGGCCATTAACAAACCAGCTCCTAATAAGGCCCCCACAACAATTCCTGTCACTGCTGATTCTTCTAGGCCACCTGCTTAAAAAATAAACAGATAATCAGGTTTCATTTTGGAAATAAGTGGAAATGCCTCACATGTCATTTATTGGAAGGTGTCTCCCAATCTCCCACTAGAAGCAAAAAAAAAAAAATTTTAAGGAGATCCTGGATTTCTTCTGCTTTTTTTCTTTCTTTTTTTCCCCCAAAGCTTAGTATAAAGCTTTAAGAAAACCTTTTTAGAAATTACTAGATAAACACAGTGCCACAAAGAAAGTGAGCAGAAAAAGAATAGAAACAGATTGAAGAAGAATTTGAGCAAAACTGGAAACTGCAGATTTCAGATATATCCAGTCTTTTGAGTTATAATCAAAGATGAGAACTCGATTGACCATAGCATTGGCCCAGCACTTCTTATTTTCACAGATGGATGGTGACACTTCCAAGTGCTAGAAGATTTGGTGAAAAATTCATTGGGTCAATATTCTGTTTTTAGATGTTCTCTCACCAAAGCCAGAGTTCCATGTCAAATGTCCTATATAGCTTTCTGATAATTGGAATAACAGTTTGAAACAAACATATTCAGTGTCCCACATATAAAAATGATAAAAATCTCACTTTGTATACAAAGAGTTTAGTACATGGCCTCCAGTGCACTGACTCATTTACTCCTCAAAACAGGATTTACAAATTGGGTATGTTTATTTTATTTTATATATGGGGAAACACAGGCTAAAACAGTTAAAGGAAATCTCCTAGAGTCACAAAACCAGCAAAAAACAGGGAGACTTCAAATCTAAGCCCAATTACTCCAGGGAGTAGGTTTTCAACATATGTCCTTCTCAATCCATCTCTATAATTATTGCATGAATATCAACCCTTCATAGTTTGAAAGATGGTCCCAAAACATAGTGAGCATATATGTATCCACCAAAACTGACCAACTAGCCTGAAAAATATTCACCTAGCTCTTCCTTACCAGCTCACAAAAAAAGTCTCTCTAAAATAATGATTCCTAATAAATGTCCCACTTAGAAGTTAATTCTAAGAACATACACTTACTTCTCTGTTTATATTATAGAGGCTATTCATAAATATTCTATTGATTTACCTATTTGTATATTTCCAGGTGTCTGAATCTGAATATTTAGAGGATAGATACAAAGTTTAAAAACAGAATGAGACTTTCCATAAGAGATAAATATGAGTAATTTATGTGATTAATCATTTGATGTTCCCTCAAATAACTAAGAAATGATAGCAAAAAATATAAAAGTAGGGAGAAGACTTCTTACCATTGTAGAAGAGAAGAATTGAGTGGAAGAAAGACCTGAAAACCTCTGAGAAAAGCAAGAGGCAGTTTGCATGTGTTTTACCATAGAAAGAAAGAAAGAAGGAAGGAGGGAGGGAGAGAGGAAGGAAGGAAGGAAGGAAGGAAGGAAGGAAGGAAGGAAGGAAGGAAGGAAGGAAGGAAGGAAGGAAGGAAGGAAGGAAAAGAAAAAGAAAGGGAGAAACCAGAACTTTCAGAGCATGAGCTCCTAGAAAACCCATTTGTGAGCCTCATACAAGTTGAGGAAACACTCAACAAATTAAGTCTCTGAGCTTACGTGATTTGCAGGGAGAACTATTGCTGTGTTCCAAAATTCTGGATTCATCTATTCGCAGTTTCAAAGGACCCCAAGGATATTTGACATTTGGCCGCATTTCAAAATGACCTTCTTTTCCAAAGTAATCACCAATAACCTATAGAAAGGCAAAAAACAACCTTACAAAAGGAAAGGCCAAAGTTACCTGCTTCCAAAGGAGGCCTGTTGCTCACAGCCTGGCTCAGTTACCCCCAAAATGAACCCAACCTAAATAGGCTGCCTTCAGGTCCACAGGAAACCGAACAGTCACCTTCATCAGCTGACCTCCCCCAGGGAGAGGTAGCAAGTACTCCAGAAAAGTATAGGGCTTGAGGACACCTTTCTTGTACATACCGATGTGACAGGGTGTGACTGAGGACCTGGTAAATCAAGATGCAAAGTCACTGATGTTGCTGTCAAGGTGGGCATGCTGGAGGAAGAACTGTGACTCCCCACATTGGGAAACATGGTCATGTCACCTCAGAAGGTGGCCAAAATCTGCCCATACTGGAGACTATGCTGTCCTTGAATATTCTTTTTTTTTTTTAATAAGAAGTGAGGATTGAATTAACCCAAGGTCTTAGCACTAAGTTATATCCCCAGCCCTTTTTTATTATTTTATTTTATTTTATAATTTTGAGACAGGATCTTGCTAAGTTCCCCAAGTGGAACTTGAACTTGCAGTCCTACTGCCTCAGCCTCCCAGAGGGCTGGGATTATGGGTATGTACCACCCACCCAGCTCCCTGGATATTCTTTAGTCTACTACCTAGTAGGAAGGGAGGGTTTGTTTGTTTTGTTTTGTTTTTCTCCAAGAGTTTTGAAAGCCATGGCTTTTCCTTGCTCACTTTCCCTTAGGGTACTGGGCTACCTACTTGTCACAGAGCGGCTCACACAGACAGCCATCTGTATGGCCCAAATAACTTTTAGGGATCTGTGAGGGAGAGCCAGGGCCCACTGAATATCCAGGCTAAGCATATGACAAGTATACAGCTTCACACACTCTGCTAGTCTGGAAAATAACCAAAGCATGAAAGAGTATGTTTTTAGGAACTTCTGTTAGAATATTCTTCGGGGGGTTACACTCTCCCCTGACGAATTCTCCCTTTTTGCACCATTGACCAGCCTGAACTCTCTTTTAATTGGCTTCTCAGCCCCTGATAAATCACTGCTCTTATGGTTCAGTTTCAGGCCTCAGCTTCTGGTCAAGGTAACTGACTACTCATTCAGGCCCTCAGCCTGGATCTGGGAGTGCCTTTCCACCCAGCTTCTCAGGACTCATTCCTATTTTGTCTGGGAACAAGACATAGCTTTGAGGTGGCCTGCGACATCTCCACTTCTCTCTTCTGACCAGGGCCAAGCCGGCTCTCACAGGCTATGTTGAGTCATAATTTTAAAAAAAAAAAAGAGTTCTAGATCCTTATCAAAATGTAATAATCACTGACACATGCCGAGCACTTATCCAGCGCCTCACATACACTTTCATGGCTGCAACCTCACAGTGCACTCTTACATCCCACTTCTTCCATAGGAGGAACCTGGATGGATGAGACCCAGACCATTGAGAGGGTAAAAATACCACTGGGTAAGGAGTGTGGGTGACTCCTGATAACTAGGCCCTTCCTAACAGGTCAGCCATATCTGAACAGAGAGGAAACAGCAAATCACGTATTCCATAACTATAAGAGGTGACAGGAGCAATGAGCCTGGGTATGAGCCTCCAAGGAAGTACAGAGGAAGTAGCATTATTTGGTAAAACACTGAATGTTTGTATAACATTTATATAAGTGTTTATCACTTAAAGTCTATATAGTACTTTTCTAGGTTTCATGTTATCTGGTCCTCAATAGTCACGTGAAATCAGCAAGGAAGACACTATGAATTCCATGTATGGCTGAGAAAACCAAAGCACAGTTCATACCCCTCAAAGCACTGGAGACTTGACTTTGTTTGGAGGCTCTCTTTTCTCCTCATGATGCTATCCTGGAAGCATGCTGTCTTTAAAATATTACCACGTGTGGGGTTTATAACCAACCATCAGGAAAAGAAAAATCCCAAAGTTTAAGGGCAAATGCCATTCATTTTACCTCTTCCACCCAATGTTCCTATAGCACAGAACTAAGGTGTGATTCTTGACCCCGTGAAAGTTAGGATTTCCCCGAGAGGGTAAGTAGGGAGCCATTTCCAGACTGCTTCTCCACGCCCTCAAACAACAGTGAGCTTGCCCTTGCTTACAAACTCATTTTCAACTCATTTTCACTCGACGGCTACTCTGAAGACAGCCTATTGGACATCAGGACAAAGATACTCTTGGTGCCAACCTTGCAAAAGTCTCTTTGGCTCACCTCCTGGGTGCCTGCTTCTGTGTCAGTCATAGCGATCACAGAGAAGTCCCCATATCGGTCTCCATTGGCATCTATGGACACCTGCCCAGCAATACCTATAGGACCAGAGGTAAAGAACTCCAAGTTAGTTACTGAAAATATCTCGGTTTGCCAAGAAAAACAAGAAAAAGAATTACAGAATTTTTTTTAAAACAAACTCACGTCACAGGGAATCTCATCAGATTTTGAGCATTTTTGTTGGCATTTGGAAACGACATTGTAATTTCATCTGTGTCTGCATTCCTAAATTCTTAACATTTCTCCATTTAAAAAGAAATAGAAATAAATGATCATCTTTGGGGAACATAGTTTTTTAAAAAAAAGATTAAGGCTAATCCTGAGCATGCTTAGTCCAGAGTTGGAACCAATTTTTCTTAAAAATGGCAGAGTGAGAAGTAGAGTTGCTTCATCATAGGATCACATTATCCCTGGACAAATACGATGAGAGGAAAATCAGTCCAGGCGCAGCACACAGTAAATGTGCTTTCACAGGGCTGCATCATTGAACAGAAGAGCAGAGGGCCTGCTGTGAAGGTGCCCAGAGCCAAGAGCTAAAGGGGAGCTGTTCTTTTCTATCCCCGTTCTGCACATTCAATATCTACCCATGTTATCTGGAAAATTACTAGGTGTCACATCACTGCTACAACTGAGACTGAGATGAACAACTGCTCAAGAGAGGGGCAGCCTGGACTTGGGGTTTAGTTAGTCCACACTGGAATGCGACTGCAGGCACCGAATTCCAGTTTTGACATCCCTACATCCGTGACCTTGAGCAGGATACTTACTTAGTCCTCTAAGGCTCAGTCTCCACCACTGTAAGTCAGAAATAATAATGTCCACTACCAAGAGGCCATGGAGATAATTACACAGAATAAAACCAGTAGAGTACTTCCAAAGCATAGTTAAGAGAAGTTAGTTGCTTTTTATTGTTACTATTACTGTCATTATTGTTATTACTACATAGTGAGCATCCCTTATCCAAAGTGTTCAGAACAAGAAGTAATTTAGTTTGCAGAGTTTGAAATATTTGCACACACATATTGAGACATCTTGGAGTTGAGACCAAAATCTAAACACAAAATTCATTTGCCCCATGTATGCCTTCTACACAGAGCTGCAAGGCAACTTTATACAATATTTTAAGTAATTTTGTGGATGTAAAAAACTTTCATGGTAAGAATTTTTCCACTTGTGGTGTCAAAGTTTCTAATTTTGGAGCATTTTAAGTTTCAAATTTTTGGATTAAGGATGCTCAATCTGTGTTTATTGTATAATTATTATTACTACCAGTGATGCTGTAATTGAAGTCTGGCTGAGGACTTCTGACCATGGCCAACCACTCAGAAAAGGGGCTAGCACAGCAAGGTGGAGAATCCAGGGAACTCATAAAGGAGCAGGAATTTTATAGGCACAGTGAAGGAAATCTATGATTTGGTCAAGCCAAAAAGGTTGGTCTAGCTGTGTTTCCAAAAGCACGGGGACGGGGGGACCCAGAGGAACTGTGAGTTTTCTGAGGAGATGGCCCATGTGCATGAAGGGGTGCAGTGAGGTGTGAGGCTGGGTAGCTGGGGCACAGAGGACCTTTAGTAACCACTTGCTTTGGCTAGCAATGAGGCTTAGAGCTGCTACTCAATAAATGCAACCACATGCCATTGGCTGATACTAAATATGTCTATATTTTCATTTTCATTCGCTAAGTAGGAGAATGCACATAACAGCCACATTCTAATTAACTGAAGCTATTTGTTTTCCTTGTGGGAGAGTTCAGTGTAATTCCTAATTGGTGTTTCTATTGATTTGGTTCTCTCCAGAAGTACTGACTCCCCCAGTAAAATGAATGTCTGGGGGAAAGCATCCCAAGGGAAAGTTCCATCCTCTAGTGTGGTTTGGAGAGGACAGATATTTGGGTTTACTGTCCTTTGGGCTGTGGTTTGAAGGCCCACTGATTTTTCCAAACTTTGGTCTACTTTGCTGGAAACAGAATGGAGCTGCCATTCATGTTGATTTTTTTGTCTTCCTAATATAAACTGGTTACAAAGCTCACAGTTACCTCAAACTTGCACTGTATATCTTTGACAGCCTGTCAAACTTTAAAGTGGTGGATATATACTTTAACACAAACATAAATATATATATATATATATAGATATAGATATATAGATATATAGATATATAGATATATCTATATATATATCCAAAACCATTTGTCATTCTGGTCAGACGTGTCTGTCAGATGTGTCTGTGTGGCCTGTTCAATGTTTTGCACAATATGTTCTAAGACAAGGTATCCCTAGTAATCCAAGACCTCATTACACCTTAAAGTTATTACAGTTCTCCCAAGAAGTGGGGTGAGAACCTCGGGTGACTTATTAGCACAGTGAGACTTCACCTGAGAGTATCAGCCATAAGGTGAGATTGTCGGGCTGACTGCAGAATTTCCCTGCACATAAGTGATGAGACTTTCTGCCTTCATTTCTATTTGCCTGTACTGGAGCACAAGGTCTGCACCACAGTCCAATTTACCTTGTCATTCTGACCTCTCACACAGAGGAAGCTTAGCTTCTTCCTCGGGCATTTATTGAAAGTCTTGAGAGTTGATCATCGGTTTCATGGCAATAAAATCCAAATTTGTCAAATAACATCCAGAGTATTTTTCCCTTGACAACTTAATGGTCACTTATATTGGCCACTAAAATTAAAATTGTTTTTAATTTTAGGAAGGTCAGGGATTTTCTTCATACAGATATCCTAAGGTTCCTTTTAAGCTTACCCGTAAATGGACTATTATTTAGTAAATAAAATGGGCTCTCCAAACCATTCAAACCCAAAACTTACCTTAGCTTCAATTATCTTTACTATATATGGACAAATGAGATTCTAATTCCAGACAGAACCATATGGTGGGCTGTTCCAGGACTCACTGCAAGTGCCTTGCAGAACTGGCCCAAGAATGGAAGCACTAAGGTGGCCTATGGGAAAATTTAGCCCATGGCCTGGTTCTACAGAAAGCTACCTTCCAGCTACTGTGAGCCCCTGTCCTTCCCTTAACCTCCTTCTTCCAGTGCCCCCCAACTCTGGCTTCTGTCCCTGTGTCAGAAGACCAAGGACAAATGACCAAACCATGTAGTGAGTAATAGCTAAAAGTGGGGATGTGGCCAACCAAGATGGTTCCCCACACAGTTTCTCAGCACATTGTGCACAACTTCTGGGAAAACTGACCTCGACCTAATATGCCCCCTGAATTATACCACCTGGTTCCTGCTCCTCAGCTGAAGCAGTCAGAGGGAAAGCAAAATCATCTCACAGGCTTGATCACCAACATCTTAGTATCTCTCTGAAATGAAAAGGGATGTCACTCTAATTTTTGAATATGACATGGCTTCCAGTAAAAGTTTGAGATATAAAATCCACCAACAGCCACCACAGCTGCCCAGACAACCCTAGCTGGGGCTTCACTTCTCCATCTTGTCCTGTCCTTTCTAATGACTGAGGGCAAGTACAGGCAGTGGAGTGGCTAAAAGGCCTTCCCAGTGGGAAATAGATACATATACCCAGAAGCTAGGCACAGTGGTGCTCATTACTGACATTGAAAATGTTCATTCTTGTGATTACAAAGGCACCCACAGGCATGAAGTCCATGAAAATCCATGAAAGGACTCAAAAGAAGAATGAGCAAGAGGCAGAACTGAACAGGTGCTTGTCACTCATGAACTAGTCCAGCCTCCTATCAAACGAGTGAAGAAAGAAGCCTAGTTGAAGTTTTCAGTGGCTAGGATGCAAGTCCCTAACCGAAGGCCAGCAATCTGCTCTCTAGGTTAATGGTTCAAAAGATCTCTGTTGGCTTACTGGAGTTTACTTTCCAAAAAGCAGCCACAACATGTCATGGAAAACCCTCAGGAGACTTTCTAGCTCCTTCAGATGGAGCCCAGTTCCTCAGCAAGGCCTCCAAGTTTACAGGGTCTTGCCCCCCTAGCTCTCCAGCTTGGATTCCTGTCACTCTGCCCCTTATACTTGTGTCTCATATAGTTCCCAGCTCCTTGGGGGACACTTGGCAAGTTCCCACTAAAGTGTTCAGATCTCTGTAATTGCTGTGCTCTCCCCTAAATGTCTGCATAACTCTTCCTACTACCTCAGGTCTCAGCCCAACTGCCATTCAGAGTTTCTGACTACTCTAAATCAGCAGTAGTCCCAGTTCTCCCCTCTCATCACTTTTATTCTTATCTCCCTTTCCAACCTCAGTTTATATTCTCTGAAATGACAAGTCTACTTGTTTACTGCCTGCCCCCACCAACTTGCATGTAAGCTGAACAGATTACAGGGAACATCTTTAGTTCACTGTTGAGTCCTCAGCTCCTTGAACAGTGGCTGGCACATAGCAGTTTCTCAGTGAATACTTGAATGAATGAACGAACGAACAAACGAATGAATGAATGAATGAATGAATGAATAGAAAGTTGATGTCTGCAGGGCAGCAGGAACCAGCTTTTTCTCTTAGTGAGTCTCATGTTAGTTCTAAGTGTTGGTGAGGAGAAGCTAAGAGGGCTGCAACTACTGTTGTATACATTGTTGGCAAAAATACAGACTAGCAGACTTTTCTGGAAGACATCTGGCAGTCTCTACTGCACTTTATAAAGCACTAATTTACTTTTGGACCAAGAAGAGCCATAATTAGAAATGTTCTTTGTTGGAAATATTCACAAAAACTCATCAAAAGTTGCAAGAGGTTTGTGACAACATATTGAATAATAGCAAAAGTTAGAAACAACTGAAGTGTCCACCAATCTAAGAGGGTTAAAGAAATTTTTGAATAACCATGAGGTGGGCTACTGCATAGCTCCCACTGGGTGTAGTATCACGCGGCTAAAGTCCTAGCACTTGGGGAGTGCTGCTTGAGGCATGACTATCATCAGGAGTTTGAGGTCAGCCTGGACTAGATAGTGAGTCCAAGGCCTCTCTCTCTAAACAATACAATGAGATCCTGTCTCAAAAAAAAAAACCAAAAAAAGTCTTAATCTCATATAATTTTTAAATGTCATCAGAGGTTCCTTGAGCAATGAGATTATAGGTATTTGCTGATGCTTTTACTGATGATACTTCTCTGTTCTTAAGAAAGAAACAAACAAACATGCACCATTTTAAAAGGCAGTGAGAGCAGAGGGTCCAGCTGGACCTGCTAAGCATCTTGAATTATCAGGTTTAACCATGCCAGCCCAAGTCTTCTGAGTGTCACAAAAACCAACATAGTCTGAACAAAGGAATGTATATCTGGAATTAACACTTCCTTTAAAACCAATCACAGATCTCTTCAGAAACTGATTGTTCTGCTGTGAATGAGGTTTGTGTTAAATGTAAATTTAAGAAGCACAGGGTTGTTAGCTATATAATCAGAAGGAAATATTTCCTATTTTAGTGGAACTTTCCAAGCACATCCATATGCATGCATTTGGTCTTCATTGATTATCAATCCTTTAAAAGTAGGAGAAGCAAGACACTAGAAAGTCCCCATAGCTTCAACAGAGAGAAACAACCACAAACAAAGCAGCTTGATCAGCTGGGGCTGTCATCTTGTAAACTAAACCCTTACCTTCAAATGTCCTGTTCCAAGTCTGCTGGATGATCTTCCCTCCATCCTTCTTGCTGTAACCAGCTCTGAGTACTTCATGTAAAGCCAGGACGTACAGGACGATGGCATCATGGAATCCTTCGACAAACATGTTCACCTGAAAAGGAAGCCCTAGTTGGATGAATCCAAACACCAAAACATCTTACATTTATGAGTCAGAGAAGCAAGTACAAAAGTTCACAAATGAGACTGGAAGTCTGAGAGGGCTGGCAGGGTGGACAAAAGGACAACTAACAAGAATCATGTCATGGTTTCCTGGCACTAGCTGAGTAAAGAAAACCTCTCCTCGGTTTGGAAATACAGAGAGCAGACAAGATATCACAGAAGGCAAGAAAACCATACGTGCTGACCAGGTTAATTATTCCAGCCTTTGCCCATATTTCCCTGTATAGAAATAACCTCCTTATCCATGTCTTTACTGCAAGTCAACATGAATCTATCTCCACCTTGAGGTCTTAGCTATCTTGAATAGCCCTCATGATCTCTCCATGCCCTAAATGTGGAACATACTAAAAGAGGAGTAGGCATCCATTTATTCCCACTCAATGATTGTCAAGTTGCCATTATCATACATGTTCTAAAAAACAATGCAAAGAAAAGTGGACACTGATTTCTGCCTGTCGACAAGGCCAGCATTTGTGTTCTCTCCATTGTCAACAATTACATCTCGGCCGAGGATTTAGCTCAGTGGTTTGGTGGCCTGCCTTGCAAGCACAAGGACCCGAGTTCAATCCCCGGTACCAAAAAAAAAAAAAAAAAAAAAAAAAAAAAAAAAAAAAAAAAAAAAAAAAAAAACGAGTT